CATTACATTACATAACATTACATACATAACATTACACACACACACACACACACAGACACACACATACACACACACATACACACACATACACACACATATACACACACACACACACACAGACCGACAGACAGACCGACAGACCGACGGACGGACGGGCGGGCAGGCCGGCGGGCGGTCAGGCAGGCAGGCAGGCAGACAGGCAGGCAGACAGACAGACAGACATAGTCGTTAGTAATCTTGGTGATAGGAAATACACACAGAGCACAAGCGTATATTTTGACCAAAGTATTTGTCAACGAACAAAACTATGAGTCTTATTATCGTTTTCCGCCGTTATGATTACCTTTTATGAAATCCTTTTTGATACACATTGATTCACAAACATGCTCTAAAATGGAAGAAGCCATGGTGTACACACAAATCGACCAACGTGGCCTAGAGCTCGAAAAAGTTAGCTGGTGATCCAAAGCCACAGCCAAAGAGCGCTGAGACATTGTAATTCAGCAAATAAGGGACGCCGGAAACGAGACTTGGGTCCAAAAGCAGCCCAGCAGTCACAGCATGGCCAGTGGATCGACCTCGAGAGCGCCTTGCCACGAATACTCACAAGGGCTGAGATCTGGCTAATGGCCCCGCTGTGGCAGAGCTTTGTCGTAAGATCTGCGTACGATGTGTTACCATCTGGCGTCAACATGATGAAAAGGCATACGACTACCGACCTGACATGCCTACTATGCAGAGCTAATCAGACGATCGAGCACGTATTGTCCATGTGCAGAAAAGCCCTAGTCCAGGAAAGATACACTTGGCGCCACAGTCAAGTCCTAAAAGAGTTAGCGTACATTGTGGACCAAGCCAGGTTGAAGGTCAACGCGAGGACGAGTCCTACCGTCACCCCCATTCGCTTCCTCAAGCAGATTGATTAAGGTAAAATCAACAATGTCGCATACGCTCCATCGATCTTAACTGTGTAGGGACTGGTTAAGGGCTTTCGACCTGCCTGGTTTCGAGGGGTACTCATAGGCAATCCGGAAGACTGGCCTGAGACCCGACATAGTTGAACAATCTGCTGAAAAACGACAGGTCATCCTGATTGAGCTGACTGTGCCGTACTAGTCGCGGGTCGAAGAAAATCAAGTGTACAGGCTCGAGAAGTACTCTGAGCTAGTGACCGGTCTAAGGAGAGATGAAGCATACGCAGTAAAAATCTCCGCCACCGAAGTTGGCGCAAGAGGTCTTATCTCCACTTCCATGTACATTGTACTAAAATAGCTGGGCTTGCGAGGAAACGAGCGAAAAAGGTCGTTAAAACAACTAGGCGAAGCTGCTAAAAGAGCTTCGAGCTGGCCTTGGACACAACGGAACGTAGTAGGAGATGGGCCTCGGTAGACTCGTCCAAGTCTTTGGTGGAAAAAAGAACGTCTTATCCCTGTCCGATTACCAACCGAAAGCTTGTCAACGTTGTCATATCTAGTCGACTGATCTAATTTCATAGCGCAGCGACAATATCAATTATTTTCACAACACCTGACGCAAATCACCATACCGTCTAATCTCGGTTCGAGAACATCCGCTAAAGTGCAGCAGGGAAAGATCGAGGCACTGTGGGTCATGACCCTTGTCGGTTTACCTTCCGGAGTTGTATAGAAATGGTACTGATAATCGGTTGACCCCTTCTGTAATGCTACCCTGTGGAATTCTTCTTAATGTGTATTCGTTAATAGGATTTAAATCGAAGCATTCGCTTATTACATCTGCGTGTTTCCTCTCCTCTAGCATCAGGGTACTTGTTGGTGATCATCATCGTCATTACGTGGCCTGCCGACTGGCGTTAGCTATCATGTGTCTCCACAATCTTCTATTCTCAACAGCATGTATCCGTTCGTGTGTTGATACTCCTCACTGCCATAAAAAAAGGCTGTCAAGAATCGTCTCGCTTCGTCTTCTCTGGCTTTCTTCAGCAACAGATCTGTCAAGAGGCCATAGCATCTTCTAGTTTCCCTCTTATCATTATGTGAACAAAAAAAGACGGATGTATCTTTCTGATATTTGGGATACCTTGTCTTCGAGCCTTCGTCTTTTTCAAAACAGATAGGTCGCTCCTTCTGGTTGTCCAACGAATTCTAAAGATTCTTCTGTACAACCACCTCACCGAAGCCTCAAAAAATTAAAATTTGTTTATTAATTGTCCAGGATTCACGGCCGTGTGTAGAAACTGGTGCTATATAGCATCAGGGAGTTATTCCCAACCTCCAGTGGCACAGATTTATTACATAAAGCGTTTTTGATGTTAAAAAAGTGTGTGATCATTTAAGCTTCATCATTCACGGGGTGTTCATGTGTTTACAGAAAATGAACCAGTTGGTGAATCACCGAATGGCACACTGCTATCAGACAATAACAGGCGCACTAAAAATCAGGTTTGAATATTATAATGTCAGACGTTTAAATCATTGTTTTGCTTACAATCCTAAGCGTCATTTATGTGTTAACATGTTATTAGCTTTCTTGATAGCACATTGTCTATAATGGTGTTTTCTGCCTATGATAACCCATATCTCTGTACTTAGCATTTTAAAATTGGCCTTGGCTTGAAAAACGCTAAGACAGAAGTAACAGTAATATCAAAGACAAGAAAAGTGCCTTATTGTGTAATAAGAGTCAGCGGCATTGTTAAAGGACACAGGACACACGGGACACTTATTGAATGTTAACGTGATGTTGGGGATTGCAATTTGAGGAGAAGCATGCTCTCACAAGCCAGTCAGCAAGGCACTTGATGATGCTGATAGGCCATTTGTAATCTTTTTATGCTTTTTCTGCCTTCTTTAGGACCCTTGCTATGATAATACATATCTTCATTATTTTATTATCGTCACAAATAAAAGTACGATAATCTATTCCTAGGGTTTTCTAACTACTATAGGTTACTTGATGTGATAATATGTATTACCAATTTCACGGTATCTGTTTCATTCATTTTACAGTTAACTAGTCACTTGTTAAGACAATCTGCATATTCAATTATTTCTCGTGTTTAATAAAAGCGTAGAATTCTAATATACATCGTTGTTTTTCGGGCTTTTCATAGGCCACTTAGTTTTATAAGTCGGATACGACTGAGCTTCCGTGAAGCAGTAGCCAGACTACCAGACTACCAGTAGCCAGAAGCACCTGTTTTCTATTATCGCCGAATGTTGGGCGAGATATATGACACAAATGCGATTAGATGGACGCATCGCACACTTCTATCTGGATCTGGATATCATTTAAAAAAAACATTCTTGCCAATTTCAGTCAGCTCCTAGAATGAGCAGCGACTTTATCTTGGCGTCGTTTATTGGCTGCGTTTAAAGACGCTTGTTTCTTTCTAGTTTCTTTGTCATGTGATACTGTTTCCTGTTGTGTATCTGTGTTTTAGGGAGAGGATCGTAAACTGCCCTAAAAAGGGCAGTTTTTGTGTGTGCCTTGGGCTGCTCTCGAACGGGTAAGGGTGGCAGTGAACTGGGTGGTGCATCGCAAACATTCTAGAGATTATGTTTATAAATATCAGTCCTCCACACATACACACAGAATTCCCTCAGCTGACAAACCATGACCGCCCAGTTTCCTAGGCACGGCACATGCTGACGGTGATTACTATTGGACTAAAGGAAGGCTAACCCAAACAGGGACATTGACTTCTCGTAAACGTAATATTGACTAAGAACACTGTAATACAATACACTATTACAAGTATGATGTGATTAGTGCGGTCAGTCTCTTTTTTCTTATAGCGGTAAACATTGCGATAACCACAAATTTATGATCAGTGACTCACTCTGAGTCTACCATTCCTGCCAAGTTCACCCACATCAGCAGTCCAACAGAACATGGTAAAAACACCCTCCCAACTATGTACAAAATGCCAGATATTGGCTACCCACGCCCGATCGTGCCGATAGCCCTCGTGATGTGCAGTGACAGTCCTCTGTCGGTTGTCTCTCTAAGAGACAACCATAAGACCCAAGGCAGATGCACAACTTGATGAAATAAATGCAGACTTTTCGTGTGCTACCCTGTCACTCATTGAAGATTCAAAAATCAACCTCCACTTAGCCAGCTTCTCCGATACCTCCCCATTACAATTCCACGTTCGTCAACAGATACACAGTCATAACACACATCTTCGGTAGCACTTAAAGACACCTGGTCAACCAGCGTACCATATAGTCGCACCTGTACCGACCCCCAATACACATATGCCTCAGAACCATCCATTCTAGAAATCACACCGACAGAAAGCCGCAGTTTAACTCATGATCCACCATAGTCATCCAGACAGTTTACAGAAGCGCCAGCAGAAAAGAAAAACATATTGTTAAAAACTGCCACACAATCAAGTCCATGTGTCCATAGGATGTGATCAATTCGCGCACACGTCCACACACGTCCACTAAAAGCTGAGTGACTAAGATCCCACATTCTCCCGCCAACAGCGGCCAGATACAGGTGGATCACACCTTCCCCACACAACATGGAATGCTTTCAGTCACCGTGAATATCGAGCAAGACTGTTGCGATTTTTTGTTTAAAATTTAATTGTTTATCAAAACAATTTAGAGCCAAAACAATCAGGGAGATTTTGGTATTGATTTGGAACCTATCGTCCACGAGGGAGAGCACGTGCACGGCAAGGCAGGCAGTCAGAAATCGAGGAACAAAGTCAGATATCAAGACATCATTGAGCTTGGACTCAGCCAGGAGCTCTTGAAGGGTAATTCTTTCATTGTCGCTGTTTATATTCCTGTCGTTAGCTCTCCTGGGGTAAATGCTTTATACAATATACTGTTATATTAAAAAGTAAAGAAGTCTTTTCCCTGCCTACAGGCGTATTGTAAATGCCTTTATTTTATAGACTTAATGGCACTTGGTGGGTGAAGTGGTCAACATCACGCCGCCCGTCTTAACTTCACAGGAATGAACCTGGTGCCCAGTCAAGGCTAAGTTGACTTGGGAACCAAGGACATTTAAAAAAAAAAAAAAGGCCTGCCCTCTCAGGACACGAACGTCTTTGCAAATTGGGTATTCCCATGAGTGCTCCATCCTCTGACGCAGCCGCCACAACTAGGTACCACTACTGATTGTTCCCATAAGGTGTTGGAAATAATATCTCTTGTCTTCACATCGAAAACCGCATAGACTTGCTTCACTAAACGTATCTCCTCGTTTTAACTTAAGAGTTTCGCCATTATCCCCACACCTAGTCCATACAACATTGATGATATCAGCCCTGACCATACTTCTTCCCCTTGGCATTGGTGCAATGCTTGCCAGCTGGTCACCTCTTTCATTTCCATTTGCTCCTGCTTGTCCAAGGATGTATGTTTAGATGATGGAGGTTAGCTGCGACTTCCGAATGCTTTCTACCCGTTCGGAGCGTGGACCATCTGTAGCGAATATCTGAAGCATGTTCATAGAGTCTGAAACGATTTCCAAATGTGTGGCAGCTTTATTTTTGCTACCCACTTTAAGTTCTTTGGAAGCAGCAGTCATCTCTATTGTCACACTTGACGTAGTCGTCTGGCGAGCGCCGCTTTACTCTTTTATTCTGTTCCCTATCCTTTGTGCTGTCTATGCCCATGCTGATCTTGACCATGTTTTAGTGACCCATCTGTGTAAATAACGACGTCTTCTGGGCGTGGATGCTGATCAATCAGTTCCCTAATTCTCAGCGTCTAGGCGGGCAGGTATCTGACTCCTGCAGTACCTCCCCACTGTTACCACAACCTTAGACAAGTCACGCATGTCTACTGGTGTATCCTTCCATTCTTTTCCGTGACTGATCTCGTCTAGGTCACATTACTGCAGGATTAGATTTTCTGTCTCGGCCATACAGAATAAGCCTCCCTTTTATTTCATTCATTGCGTTGTGCAGTGGGTGGTTGATGTTTGCTGATACTTTCATGTACGCTTTCACCTGTGCCACTTTATATTTGGTGCTTATCGCCGGTAAACCCAGGATATATCGCATAACGCGGCACGAGGTGTCGTCGTTTACGCAGTCAAGTATGAGTCTCATAGCCTTATTTCGTACCCGGTCCAGTCATTCTAGCTGGGTTCTGCTGAGAGCGAACAGACCCAGACAGTCGTCATCAACACTTAGTACACGTCCATGACGCCAAATGAAAGCTGGAGAACAACTAAAGATATGGAATGAAAATTAATTGCACTCGAAAACAAAGATCTAAGGAAAACGATGGACATAAAATGGGATGAATTCAAGAGTGGTGAAGAAATAAGAGAAATTTTATGTACAACCTGTAGTATCAACAGTTAAAAAAACAGAGACGTTGGTGCTAAATTAAAACACTTTCTAAGGAGAGACGAATAGGCAACCACTAAACGGGCACTGGAATGGGAAACATAGGGACTGAGAAAGCAATGACATCCAATCCGTACACCGAGGCGAGCGTTGATTAGAGAGGCTAAAGATGTTGGACTGGATTTTATCCATGATATTGAGTAAATTGCACAGCATAGAACGTAATGGTGAAGTAGTTTGCGAAACTTATGATATATAATGGCAAAACAGGATAACGCAAGAATGAATGAGTATCTTCTTACATAAATCTAATTAGTATATAGTGTTATCATTGTTTCATACTGCAAATAGACTTAGTTTTACCTTATTTTACATGATAATTTAATTTAATGAGTTGTTACTTATCTAGTAGTTAACAAAATGTCTTACCTGCTCAAAAAAGTATAGACTTCTCCCCCCCCCCCCCCTCCCCCCACCCACACAAAAAAACCCACCCCACCCCGTCCAAAATAAAATTCAAGACTGCTTTTCCCGGTTGTGGATTTCAGTGAGACATTACGATGGACAACTCCAGGTTATCAATGTAAATGATTCTCGTGGGTAATCTTGGACTGCATGTGATTCATTTTGGTGCTTCATTATGTGTTGATGTGATTTCTGTAGTTTTTGCTTCACAAGATACAGCAAATTACGCCAGGCAGTAAATTATGCAATATGTCCTTCGTGCTCCAATTACTTAAAAACATATGTTTCTATTGTCCTTAATATAGTTTTGTTAGATTTTGATCAACATCTTTATCCTTTAAAAAAAAATTGGGATAAGTAAAATACATTCTAATAGGAACATTAATTATTTAAACAAGAAATTACTTATTTAATGACAGTGAGAGAGAGAGAGAGAGAGAGAGAGAGAGAGAGAGAGAGAGAGAGAGAGAGAGAGAGAGAGAGAGAGAGAGAGAAGAAAGAAAGAAAGAGAGAGAGAGAGAGAGAGAGAGAGAGAGAGATTCAGTAAATGTAATACTTTAAAAGAAAATGATAAAACTAGGTATATCTAATCAACAGGTATCGACCTGTCCAAGCTTCTAGAGCAAGAGAAGAAGGAAATGGAGGCATGGCAGCACGACAAAAATGAAAGGAAGGGAATGAGTGAAGAAGATAACAGTGAAACGGAACAGAACGCTTTATTTTGGCAGAAGGTAAGCTGAAAATAATCACAGCAGAGCAACTGATTATTGCTTCTTTTTCTTTCTTTTCTCGTTTCATTGATACCAGGTTGTAACCCAGTTTCGTGGTTTTCTCTATTTATCTTGCCCTTCTCGGGTGTCTTAAACGAAGGATTTGTTCATCTTTTTGCAGGTTACAGCTTAACCATTTATTCTTCGCTTTCTTGGTTTTTTTCCTCGCCTTCCGCCCTAATGTTCTGTTCTAGAAAATCTCACTTGCAGTTTTGTTTGGCTGCATTCTCACTAGATGGCTGAACCAGTTCATTCTTTGTATGTCAATATAATCGGCACATGGTCTTATTCCAAATGTCTCTCTAATGCTGGCAATCGTAGCCCAGTCCATTAGTGTGTTGTTAGTGGCCTTACGGAGCCAGCGCATTTCCTATGTAGTTATTTTCTGTTCTAACGCCCTATTTGTTGTCAGTGTTTGTCACTGGTAGCATAAAGTATGGATGAAGATTATTTTAATCATTTCCTGTTTTGCTGGAAGGGAGATATTTGGGTGTCTAGGCTGTGGGCCCTAACTGGTAGTTGACAGCCTTTTCCTTCTGCTTAGGCGTTGTCAAAATGATTTGTAATGCCGGGGTGCCGTGTTCGATCCCAGCTGCAGACCATTTGGTTTCGACAGTGGTACCTAAATCTGACTGTTTAGAAGCAATGGCAAACTACTGGACGCAAAATTTGTCAATAACTCTTATCATTAAAACATTTCTGGGGCTGGTTCTGCAACGTCCTGTAAAGGATACACAACTAACTTTTAACTTACTATGGCTTCTCTCTGTCTATTGAGTCTGCCATCCTCCGTAAATATGCTTCCTAGAAACTTGAATGGATCGTTGCTTTAAACTGTAATTTTAATAATGTACACATGATTCTGTAACTGATACTTCTTTGAGAAGACAATTAAATGAGATGTATTCATAGAATTCATCGAAAGGTGCCCTTCTTGACGACTGCTCTGATATCTTCATCAAAACCAAGTGTCTTCCTGACTGGCGTATGCAATGATGCATCAGAATCCCTTACAGTCACCAAAGTAGTGTATAAGTCGTTTACGACGCGTATTTCGATTAAGCCTCCTTCTTTATTCTTTGTAAAAGATGGCGGCCAAATCTGCTTGGTCTCTCTGGGAGGCTTTATATATCCTTAGTTAATATCGATCGGGACAGCCTCCCTCTTTATCCTTAGTAAATATCGATCGGGAGGCTGATGACAGCACACTTGACGGGTTTCAGGGGAAAGACATATGGTGCATAAATCGATATGTTGTCTCTCCATAGCAACTGTTATTCATTGTCGGTATGTGGGTATTTTCTTTATTAGTTTCATAACGGCAGGTGACAGGTGGCGTTATATAAAGGGTGAGAGCAGGGAGCCGTTTTAGACTTGCGATAAAGAAAACCTAGGAAGGCGACGTGGTGACCGGGGATATATTAGAAAGGGGCAGCTTGGGCGCCGGCATCATCATCATCATCTGTATCATGGGAGCGAAGGTCGACCGCTCATGGATGGTTTGNTTTTTTTTCCCCCTTCTCGGGTGTTTTAAAACAAAGGATTTTTTCATCTTTTGGGGTTACAGTTTAACCATTTTTTCTTCGCTTTCTTGGTTTTTTTCGTCCCCCCCCGCCTAATGTTTGTTCTAGAAAATTCAGCTTTTGGGGTTTGGCTGCATTTTCACTAGAGGCTAAACCCAGTTCATTCTTTGTATGTCAATATAATCTGCACATGTCTTATTTCAAATGCTCTCTAATGCTGGTAATCGTTTAGTCCCAGTCCATTCGTCGTGGTTGTTAGTGGCCTTACGGAGCCAGCGCATTTCCTATTGTCAGTTATTTTCTGTTCTTAACGCCCTATTTGGTGTCAGTGTTTTTGTCACCTTGTAGCATAAAGTAGGGACGAAGATGATTTTAATCATTTCCTGTTTTGCTGGAAGGGAGATATTTGGGTGTCTAGGATGTGGGCCCTAACTGGTAGTTGACAGCCTTTTCATTCTGCTTAGGCAGTTGTCAAAATGAATTGTAATCGCAGGGGTTGCCGTGTTCGATCCCAGCTGCAAGGACGATTTGGTTTCGACAGTGGTACCTAATCTGACTGTTTAGAAGCAATGGGCAAACTACTGGGGACGCAAAATTGTCAATAACTCTGAGCATTAAAACATTTCTGGGGCTGGTTCTAGCAACGTCCTGTAAAGGATACAAAACTAACTTTTAACTTACTATGGCTTCTCTCTGTCTAGTGAGTCTGCCATCCTCCGTAAATATGCTTCCCTAGAAAATTGAATGGATCGTTGCTTTAAACTGTAATTTAATAAATGTACACATGATTCTGTAACTATTACTTTCTTTGAGAAGACAATGAAATGAGATGTATTCATAGAATTCATCGAAAGGTGCCCTTCTTGACGACTGCTCTGATATCTTCATCAAAACCAAGTGTCTTACTGACTGGCGTATGCAGTGATGCCTCAGAATCCCTTACAGTCACCAACAACGTGTAATAATTTGTGTGTTGACACACTTTCATTCTAGCTGAAACCAATTGGCCGATATTTTGTTTTCAGTGTTCCTTTGATTTCTCTATCCGTAGATTTTTCCAGTTGTCACATGTTCCAGTTTTTCTTTTGTTAATTCTCTCCTAATATTTAAAACTGCGATGAAGCTTCTAATGTTGTTGCTTGTTGTACAACTGCTAAATTTACAATAGAATTGTTTCTGTCTTTCACTATATCTAATAGCTAGTACTCTCTAACATAGAACTAATTTCTCTATTGTTCATATCTCTATTAAAATGTTCTATGCATTTTATTTGTCTTAAAATTAGGGTTTTGTGAAATCAAAAGTAAGTGACTTCAGTAAAACTATCAAAAGTCTGAAATTTAGGAAAAACATTAAAGTGACTTCAGTAAAACTATCAAAAGTCTGAAATGTAGGAAAAACATTAAAGTATGCTCAGCTTTTAACAATGAATACAATAAAACTAACAAATCGACGTTGCGACCAAAAAAAAAAAAAAAAAAAACAGCACACGCAAAAGAGCTGACTCTTTATGCTGGTATTCAAATATTGTGTAAAACAAATATAACAATGTAAAATTGTTTGAAAAAAAATCAATAATAAACAATAAAAGAATGCACTAATTCAATCTTCTCAGCAGCCCAGAGAAGCATCCTCTTCTTTTCTCTTACTGCTTGTGCATTAAAGCGTCGCGGAGAGGAGTTAGGGTGGTACGCTCTACCTTAATTGTCTCCAAACAGTGGGGGGGGGGGGGGGGGGGGGGGTGGGGGGGGGGGGGGGGGGGAAGGGGGGTGCCTGCCTGGCCGGGAAAATGCCGGGGGGGGGGGGGGGCACAAGAAGGTTTTAAGGGGAGGGAGCCAGCCGTCAAGCTATTTTAAAATGAGTTAATTGTACTTTTAACAATCTGTTACACTCATATTTTGTTTTACTTTTATTTTAAATACAATATTTGTAAAACTATTTATTAAACAAAACGACTAAGATTTTTTATTGTGGTTTGTATATCAACTGTTAAAAATCTAAAAAGCTATTAATAATATGATTATGCGGATCTATTGTCCTCCACTTTGTAACCACATTTTATTATGTTTAGAGTGGGGGCGGCGTGGGGGTGCCATATTTTCAAACGGGGGGGGGGGGGGGGCACGTGGGGGTGCTTGGGGGGGGAGACGTGGGGGTGTTGTCATAAACTCATAGGGGGGAGGACGTGGGGGTGTTGTCATAAACTCATGGGGGGGGGACGTGGGGGTGTTGTCACAACACAAACTCATATGGGGTAAGGACGTGGGGGTGTTGTCATATTCTCAAAAAAGGTGGGGGGGGGGGGTCGTAGGGTTTTAGTCGTCTACTCAAGGGGAACGTGACCTGAAAGAGGTTGGTGACCACTGCTCCAGCTACTGGCTGACTTTTGTTCCAATCTCACTAGATGACCAAATCCTTTAATCCTGTGATGTTTCATGAAACCATTCACCGCTACTGTGTCTACTATTGTTCTTGGTTAAGAAAGCATCACATACTTGATATCATTCTGTCGTCTGTTTCCTCACAGCAGGTGACCGAGCTACGAAAAACATACCTGGAAAAGCTCTATGCAAAGGTAAGACACCTGTCCAACCCAGAACCGGATAGCGCTCAATCCCAGGGCGACCAGAACATGGACAATAGTAAAGCAAAGGAAGCCATGGAAAAGTGGGCCAACACCGTCTCCACAGGCAACAAAAAACACCGTACCAGCAACGCTGAGAGTAGTCAGAAGAACGAAGAAGTCCTGCAAGAGGTTGCCAATACCCAGTCCGAACATGAAGAAGCTGCTATCAGAGCCAAGTATGCCGGAGACAGCTCAGAGAAAAATTCAAATGACGTCGCAGAGGAAAATCGAAACACAGGTCATAGAGATTACCAGGGGCAAGATGTTGGTGAGGAAAATGCACAAAAAGCTAGTGAAGATGATCTGTGAGTAAAGGGTCACACTGAAGAAGAGTGAGGAGCTGGCGTATTGTATTACAGTTTGCACGACATATTCTTTGAAATGTTATTATGTGTAGCACTGCGTTCTCTGTATCTTTGTATCACTAGTCTGCATGACATTCTCTCCTTTATGCCAATATCTTTTATGAGACAATAATTGTATATGACTTTAAGTTATACAAGACTCTTTAATCTACTTGACCTTATGTTTTTTGAGACATCAAATTATGTATGATGTGTTTAACATGACATAATGGTCTTTGCGATATTTAATTCTACGGACAATTACATTTTAGGAAACATTGTTTTATCAGGTAGATCACGTGTTGGAAAGTACTGTATCCCATAGACCATAGATTACGTTCCAGTACGGCCTCACTGATCATGTCTCAGACAGTACCGTGTTCCAAAGATCATGTCTCAGACAGTACCGTGTCCCATAGATCATGTCTTAGACAGTACCGTGTCCCATAGATCATGTCTCAGACAGTA